CATGATTTTGTAATATTCACAGATCATATATTCGAAAACGAAGATATTTGCAATAAAAGATGTATCAATTTAAATGTACTTGTATAATCATAAATGCAGAACTTATGAAGGTTAAGGGTCGTAAAAAAAAAAAAAAAAAAAAAAAAAAAAAAAATCACTTTGTTCAATAGACGGAATTATTTATGAGATCAGATATTTATATATCAGTTTAAATGATGAATTTAAGATTTGTGATTGTATTAAAGTGCCAATCAACGAATGATTTCATTTCATAAGTGAGTAAAAAATGATCAAGATATATATATATATATATGTGTGTGTGTATAGCTCTTAAATGATTCTCGATATTTTACATTTAGATTAGACATTTCAAACTTGTTTATCGAGATGCGAAAGTCCCGAAGAAAATAATTAACGAATAAAATTAACGAATAAAATTAACGAATAAAAATGGAATATAATTAACAAAGAATATCACGCATATAAAATCTTGCACATTATCATGGAACGTGCTTACGACTTAATCGATAACGCTGAAATTAAATTATTCGAATTTTTTAATCGTTCGAAGTGAGAGAAAGAGAGAAGAGAGAGAGAGAGAGAGAGAGAGAGAGAGAGAGAGAAAGAGATGTCGACATCATTAAAAAAAAACAAAAAAAAAAAAAAAAAAAAAAAAAAAAAAAAAAAAAAAAAAAAAAAAAAAAAAAAAAAATCAACAGGTGACATCAATCGTTTTAATATGCTTTTATATTTTAATATTGTCAAAATGACGGATTATATATTGTATAAGTATTATATTAATGTTATTAAAATATAATTGTTAGATTAATGTTAAATGAGAATTGTTATTGTTTATTCGTTATCAGAGAGTTAAATTTTTCTTTTAAAAAATTATCAATAATATAATTATTAATGTAATAATAATTGAAAATTGTTCTTGTTTATATTGATCATTTAAAAATTAAATGTTTCTATAACGATTGCCGAAAATATAATTATATAGAATATATACGTTAAACGAAAGTTGTCCCGTCTTATATATTTATTATCACAAAATGAAGCAAATATAAAATGTAAAAAAGAATTTTTTTTAAACGTTTTTTTTTTTTTTTTTTTTTTTTTTTTTTTTTTTTTTTTTTTTTTTTTTTTTTTTTTTTTTTAAGTGGCACAACTTGTCAAATTAACAAATGCGATAAAAATAAATCGATAATACTAATATTAATTATCCTTTTTATTTTCCATAATGTATATTTTCGATTTTACTCCTTCCTTATTATTTCATTATACGTATAAAAAAAAAAAGAAAAAAGAAAAAAAGAATAAATTTTATATATATAAAAAAATTTATATTGTTAACAAAAATATGTATTTCCGATCTAATAAATTCGATTAGTAACAACTACCTTAAAAATAGATTCTATGTGATGGGATGAGTATGGGGGATGAGGGGAGGCGAGAGGACAAGAGGCACACACAAACAAATAGCTTTTCCTATGGACGATTGCGTTTCAATGACGTCGTAGAAGATTCGTTGGAGAGGGACAGAGAATGTTGGGAAGGGTGAGAGAGAGAGAGAGAGAGAGAGAGAGAGAGAGAGAGAGAGAGAGAGAGAGAGAGAGAGAGAGAGAGAGAGAGAGAGAGAGAGAGAGAGAGAGAGAGAGAAGCATAAGCGGAATAACAGGAGGGTTTAGCGCGGCAGTTGCACGCTCGACACATAACGGTGTGTATCTGTTCCTTCTCGCGCACAAATTCAACGTGACAATACGAAAACGAAGTCAGTAATCAAAGTCGAAATCGAAGAAAAAGGAAGAAGAAGAAGAAGTAGAAGAAGAAGAGGAAGAGGAGGAGGAGGATAAACTGGCGCAGGGCCAAGGAGGATTCAACAATATAAAGATCACCGATCGAGCGTCATTCTTGATTACTCGCTCGTGCAACGTCGTCTCAAGTGCAGTGTCGGTGCATCTCTCTTTCTTTTTTCTTCTCTCTCTCTCTCCTCTCTCTCTCTCTCTCTCTCTCTCTCTCTCTCTCTCTTTCTCTTTTTTCTCTCTATTATTCTATTTCAAATAGAATCCGAATAAAATCACTTTTATTAATCATATATATATATATACATATAGATATATAGAAATTATAAATAATGACAAAGAAAGAAAGAGTTAAAGTGATTGAGTAATTAAGTTAGAGAGAGAGAGAGAGAGAGAGAGAGAGAGAGAGAGAGAGAGAGAGAGAGAGACGAGAAGATGCGTGAATCTTTAATCGTGATAATTTTATCCGATTAATCAATCAGTGAATTGACAAGTGTTGAAATTATCCGTGAAGAAGAAAAAAGAAATAAAAAGAGAGAGAAAGAGAAAGAGAGAGAGAGAGAGAGAGAAAGAGAAAGAGAGAGATAAAGAGGGTGTGTGAGAAATAAAAAAAAGATAGATAGAGAGAGAGAGAGAGAGAAAGAGTGAACACATCGTACAGATCGTGAGTTGTTTTCCCACAAATTCAATATTTTCAACGCTTCCTCGAAAGTCCTCCGGTTGAATGAAAAAGGTGTGATGATTCATACATACACGTCCCATAGTATACAGGTGGCTCGTAGAACACGTGGTTTACCCGTCTAATAGTCACGATGATATAGGATACTTCATCTCTTTCGTGGTTTTTCCCACCATATATATATAAATATATAATATAAATACATATATATATATATATATATATATATATATATATATATATATTCTTGTCTCTTTCTTTCGTTAGGATACACGTTCTTTTGCTTGAAACGTTAAATATGAATTTTCATTTCGTCTCTTTTCATTTCATTTTATTTCATTTTATTTCATTTTATTTCATTCCTTTTTTTTTTTACAGCCTCCCCCATTCCCGTCTTTTGTGTTCGTATAAGAGAACGATTATATATTCTTTTTTTATCTGCATTTAATTGGATCCAATATAAAAAATTGGTGTATCATCTTATACACACATATATATATATATATATATATACTATCTAATTAAATTGATAAACGAGGAGGAAAATGGGAAAAGAGAAAGAGAGATAGATAAATAAATAAATAAATGTATAAATAGATAGATAGAGATAGAGAAAGAGTTTAACGGATAAATAAATATAACTATACATTTTCACATCCTGTCACGAGAATGATCTTCTCTCTTTGGTATCTCATGGTAGCTTAGACTTAGTATATCCGGTCTGGTTATAGTTAAGTACTTGCGAAAGTTAGGATTTCCGGTACGTTAACTATGCTTCGAACAACGACAACGACGATAAAACGACATTTATTCGATCGGTCTTGAATATATATATATATATATATACATATATATATATACGCATTCTTATATATACATACATATATATATCTTTACGTGCGTAAATACATACGTTTTGTCACCAATAGATATGACTCGCCTTCGATTTGCGAAGAAACGTGTCATACTTTCACTTCGACATAGCTGCACCATCGAAAAGATCGGCCCCCTCTGCCCCCACATCCCGCTGATTACCGCCCTTCGTTTTCTTGATCATTGGCTACGCGTGCCACGGCATGCGCTTTCCATATATACATGTATATATACAAAATATATATATATATGTATATATTCTATATCTAATCAATGTAATTAGAAACTTGTGTAGATCAAATTATATATATATATATATATATATATATATATATATATATGTATGTATGTATGTATTCGTCGTATCTATGTTCGATATCGATGATCATTTTCAACTAATCTTAATCGAACTTAATTGTGCCTCGAAGCGGTAAAAGCGTTCGCAATATTCTAAAATAATCATTTCTAATCTCGTATATTAAAAGATTAATACATTTTCTTCTCGTTTCATATGAAAGCTCAAGAGAAAACGAAAATTTTCTCTATAAATATTTATTTGTTTAATTCATTTTAATTAGCCATTTGAATGTCGATCAATTATTATAGATATTAGTTTTCTAATTTGAAATGAATTACGAACAACAAACATTTATATTTTTTTAAGAGTGACGTTTATCGTAAAAAAAAAAAAAAAAAAAAAAAAAAAAAGAAAAAAGAAAAAGAAAAAATGACAGAAAAATATTTTTTCTTTTTTCCATTTGATAGAAAATCGATCTGTTAATCAAAGCGTATTAATTTAGACGTTTATCGTTCGAAAGATCCAACAATTAATATTTTGTTTCTTTTTAATTCGATAAAGAAATTCATTGATGATTGAAAAGAAAAGAGATCGAGTTAATTCATGGATAATAGATGTAAATTGTTATGTCATATACGCGTATTACGTATATTCATCTTTATATAACGAAGTATTATACATGATAGTTATTTACATATCCGAATGAAAAATAACAAGGAGATGGTTAACACCAATTAACCGCAAAATTATGTCAATAACAATGCAAATTGATCGTACCAGTTAATAGAACAGATGCGATATATATATATATGTGTGTGTATGTGTGTGTGTGCGCGTGCGCGTATATATATATATATTTAATAATCTGGAAAATGAGATTCCTCGTAGAAAGTTCACTCATCAGGGTAGGATCTTTAATTTATTAATAACGTTCTATTTTCATATGGTTCATGGACATAATATAACTATATCGTGCAATACGTTATCGTAACAACGATATCGATCGAACATTATATATATATATATATATATATATATATATATATATATATGTAGAAACCTATCTCTTCTATATTAAATATACTATTCATAATAATACTATTAATTGATATAAAAGAGTATATTGAATATTTCAAAATATTTCATTAACCTACATTCTTCTTTAATTCGACATCAAATTCATTCGAAGAATTTGAGAATTTTTTCATCGATGAGTCAAGTCTTTTTCTTTTTTTTTTTCCAATCGAAAAAAGGATCTTCTCTACTATTACTACTACTAGTACTACTACTACTACTACTAATAATAATAATAATAATAATAATAATAAATTCTATAAATAGTATTAAAATGATTATATTTAAAATATATCTGACTAAAAAGATTATAGAAAATCATGATTCGTCGAAGTGATCTATCCTTTTGGAATCTTATTTATTATTATCCGGTAATAATTTATCATAAAGATTGGATCGACAATGACTTAACAAGTTTATCATTCGATAACGAGAATGACCTACGAAAGCAGATGATTAACGACACACACACACACACACACAGAAAGATTATGCACACATGTACGCACACACGTACGCATGCATGTATGCAGAAACACATGAAATACTAGCAGGCAGATACGCAAAGTCAAAGAATAATATACAAACGATGACGTCGTCGTCGTGAATGTAAAATTACAAACCCCTTCAAATTATAACGGAACCACAACTGCTTATCAAATTATGTAACACAACGTTTAACGAAGAAACAAGAAGAAATAATAGTCGAACACGGAGAAAGTAATACGTGTGTCCTGTTTGGCAAGATCAATAATGATCATTTTTCGATTCTATCGGCCGTAAGAAGATTGATATCGAACGTATATGTATATAACTATTTACGTACGTACGTACGTACGTATGTACGTATATAATGCGTATTTACTTCGATCATGCTCATATGATAGAAAATAATGACAAACTTTCGAAGAAATTCAAATGCCGTGTATGTAACGATTGGTATTTCATTCCAACAACAGTCATCGTAATTTATCGATTTTATTAAATCGATTCATTGATTCACGTGATTTACTCAGAAAATTATCTGTCGAATGAATGATATCTGGTTTGAATAAACCTTGAACTTTCGTTGGAATGGGGAGGGGGAGAGAGAGAGAGAGTGTGAGAGAGAGAGAGAGAGAGAGGGAAATTATTGGGAGGAGAGGTGGGGGGAAAGATGAAGAAAAAAAAAAAAATTAAAACGTACAATTTCGCGGACGTCTTCTCCATTAGTAATCGTTTATCTATCCGACTATCTATCATTTTCATTCGATTCAAGTACCCATACTTTATATATCTACGTAATTGCATAAAATCGTACACGAGAAGAATTTTATCGTAGAAAATGGAACATTGTAATTTCTTTCGCGACAGTGATTCTAGTTGCGTGCAACACTGAAACGAACGTATTAGAAAAGTGGATAAAGCGAAAGGTTGCATCAACGTTTCACCTGTGTTCAACTTGTATAGTTCTTTTTTTTTTTTCTTTCTTTTTTTTTTCTTTTTCCTTTTCTTTTAGCGTGTTCTCTTTTTCCTTTATGTTATATTAAGAAACGAGAGACGAGGTCTCGTAATGTCTGGAAATATATCGACGTGTCATTTATTAATTCAATAAACAATCGTTATTAATATTTCAAATGGAAATGATCATTTTTATCTAATCGCGTGATTAGAACATTATTACAATTGGTTTGGAAAGAAAAAGAAAAAGAAAAAAAAAAGAAAGAATTAGAAAAACAATCAATCTCGACGATTCTTTCGTTTGAAATGATTCCAATGAATTAAGAAAAAAAAAGAAAAAGAAGAAAAAAAAAATCGAAGTCTAGTAGACAAAAATTATAATTTTTCTTATAATTAACGTGATCATATAAATTATTTCAATAGATTAAAAAAAAAAAAAAAAAAAAAAAAAAAAGAATCATAGAATCGTGGACGTATTCGCTTAAAATTATCATTCATATAATACTAGCTGCTATATGATGATAAAATTATTCCAAAATGATTGACAAGAACAGAAAAATCAATGAGCCTCGTCTACGTAATTCGTTTTAAATAATAATTACCATAACAACGCGATTATAAATTCAATAAGTTATTCTGATTAATAATTTCAATCAATTAAAAAAAAAAAAAAAAAAAAAAAAAATCCAAAGAATCTCTTCGGCGTATTCGCCTTCGACGAAACATGAATAAAATTCCAAATGCGAGATATCGACGTAGCTGAGAAAGAGAGGGGAGAAGACGAGAAAGAAAGAAAGAAAAAAAAAGCAGAAAAAAAAAAAAAAAAAAAATATATAAATCGAAGGAGCCTTGACATGACCTTCGACTTCCGCAAGGGCTCGTCGATTTTTCCTTTCAATGGAACAGCACGCAAGCGAATTGCATTCTAGAGAATCCTCTTCGTGGCATTGTACTGCACTAAGTGCCAAGGAACAATGAGCTATGAGAGAGTATAATGAGAATTTGAAGAATTTGATAATGTTGAAAGCTACGTTGTAGCGATATATATATGAAAAAAAAAAAAAAAAAAAAAAAAAAAAGAAAAAAAAAAGAAGAAGGAAGAAATGCTTCGAGAATGCGGATAAAAATATATATCGACGTATCAGAATCGATAATACGGGTTAGAGATACTCAAATGATGATTCATTAAGTTAAAATAAAATCCTATTCGTTAGGAAAGTTTTTTTTCCTTTAATATCTTGACATTAATAATATCAGTGATAGATTAAAAATGTTATAATATCTCTTTACTGTATAAAGATTTGACCAAAAAGAAAAAGTATAATTAATTGGATAAATATTATTTTTCCAAATCGTTGATTTAAACTACTTTCACAGAGTAATTAGCATAGATAAATATGAGAAATAAATGAATATAAAAGGGAAACGAGTTCGTCGTCGTCGTCGTCGTCGTCGTTCGAGCGTTTCGATTAGAATCTTTCAGTTTTTTCTTCTTCTTTTTTTCCCCCTTTTTTTTCTTTTTTTTTCTTTTTTTTTTTTTTTTTTTTAATTCCCGAAGGTAAACGTACGATGATAAACGGCAAATGGAAACACGGCCAGCATGTTGACACGAGATGAAATTAACTTGGTCACGTTTATTTATTCTACAAATGTTTCTATCACGAAGGTCCGCGAAGAGGTCATTTACAGTCGTCGACAGATATACTCGGGAGAATTTTCTTTTGAAATAAAATTTTCGAATTATTCGTTTTTCTTTTTTTCTTTTTTTTTTTGTGTTTACTAGAAATTTTTGTGGTTTCTTTTTTTTTTTTCTTTGTGTTTTTTTCTTTCTTTCCTTTTTTTAAGCGAGGACAATCAACGATTCGTAAACGTAATTGACTTTGATTCGAGATTTAATAGAATATAGTATGATAGTCATATACATTATTTTCGATAATAAATTCATAGAAAAAGAAAAAAAGAAAAAAAAAAAGAGAAAAAAAAGGAGGAATGAAATTTAACGATGATCGTTTGGACAAAATCGAATCATTAACCTTGTGTGTATTTTATTTGTCTTTATGGTTGTGGCCCGTTAAAACGACAAAAAGCATTTATAAACCGGTATCGGGTGCCAATCAATTCAATTTCGCGTTTGCCTTCGATAACTTCGCCGACGAGGTGGAAAATCGTGAAATTAATTTCGTACGTGTTAAATATTTGCGAAGTCATAAACGATTATAAAAAATATATATATATATATTTTTTTTTTGTTTGAATACAAGAAATGAAGAATCAAATTTTTATGAAAGAAAACTAAATAAACCTTCTATAACATCAGATGATCAAAAAAAGAAAAAAAGCCATACACATACATATATAAACATAAGAATTTAGAAGAAAAAATAAATAAATAAAAATAAATATATATATATATATATTTAATTTTTATATTTTCGTCACTAAAACAATTTAGTTCATATTCGAGGATAAATATTTGCTAAATACAAATTATGATATTATATATTGACAATTCATCAATAATAAAATTAAAATTCGCTAAGTATTAATTCTTTATTTAGACACGAAGAAAAAAAAAAAAACTTGAGTAAAGAATTTTTATCGCACTAACAAGTAATAACAATAATAATAATAATAAAAAGAAAAATAAATAAATAAATAAAAAGTCATGTCGTCCTAATGAGAACGGGATAAAAAAAAAAAAAAAAAAAAAAAAAAAGAAAAAAAAAGAAAGAAAGAAAAAGAGAAAAGTGTTCGAGATTACTTAACGTTGGCGTTAATTGGTAACCAGAGATGTTAACTCGTTTCACATATTAGCAAAGAGAGTAGAAAAAATCGAAAGAGCAACGACAGTTAAGGAAAGTGTAACCGATAATATAATATACATACATACATAGATATATCGAAGAAACAAATACATACATATATTCATACATACTGAAGAAACAAATACATACATATATACATACTGAAGAGGATCGAGAAAAGAGAAGAAAGATGAGAAAAAGGAGTTGGAAGTGGAGGTGGAGGTGAAGGAGGACGACGAAGGACGAAGGAGGACGAAAAGAACCGGCAAATGCGGTAATACGAGAGAGGAGGCATCGGGATGAACGAGAGACGAGCAAGAATTATGCAAGAGTTTCAACTCTTGCACGAGTTGCCTCGACGAAGCAAGCCGGTCAATGCCAAGGTGTTCCACCTCTGCGAATCAACTGAACGATGACCACCACGAAGGATTCTCATTGGGAAGAATTTTTTGCTTGGGTGAAAAATAAAAGGACGTGCAAATAAACGTCGCAAAATTATTTTTTGAGGTCACGTTATTTTCATGCTAAAAAGAGAGAGACAGAGAGAGAGAGAGAGAGAGAGAGAGAGATAGAGAGAGAGGGAGAGAAATATATATATATATATATATATATATATATATATTATTTTGCAATAGCTTGAATGCTTCTTAAAAAAAGAAAAAGAAAAGGAAAAAAAAATGGCCTTTATATTTCTCTTTGATGTTTCATCTCTCACCTTATCGCGGCCATGATAAACAGATTTTGAAGACTAACGAAATACGAATTTATTATTATTATTATTATTATTATTATTATTATTATTTTTTTTTTTTTTTTTTTTTTTTATATAAGAGACGAAATTTCGAAACTTCCTTTTTCTACGTATGTACGTACGTATATACGTGCAAAATCGAAACGATTGTTAATCGAACGTAAAAAAAAAAAAAAAAAAAAAAAAAAAAAGAAAAAAGAAAAAAGAAAGAAAAAAGAAAAAAAAAGTAATACACAAAGGATATAGGACGTGTATTTTTCTGCTGAACGGTGAACGGGGAGAGAATCGTTGAGTATCGTTAAGCTCGCTTACTCGGCGAAAGTGTAGCGTCGAATAGGTAACATTATACAATATCAAGAGTACCAGAACGTAGAGAAAAGAGAAAGATATATATATATAGGGTGTCCCATTTGAAGTTTCTCATACAATATTTTTCTCAAAATAATTAATTCGTTCGAGAGAGGAAAGAAAAATAATAAATAAATAAATAAATAGAAAAAACAAAAAAAGAAAAAAACTTTCGAATAAAATTAATCTAATAAATCTTAATAAATTAATCTTTCGGTTATATGTTAGAATATGCTACTATGATTTTATTAAACTGATCTTTAATACGTGCGTTTGTTTTTATTTTTTTTTTTCTATACCGGAATATACGATAACACTTTTAAATACAATCATTTTAATTATATTAATTAGGTTATTAGGTTATTAGGTTGTTTAGATTTATTTCGTATTGAATTCAATTCATCTCGACGTTTAAAGTTGGCCTAAATAAAAACAATAGTTATAAAAAGACAAAGGTCACTTTGAACTGTCTTCAGAGAAGATCAGTGCTCGTCGTTAAAATGTTAACCCTTCTTGAAACGTTTTTCTTTTTCTTTTTTTTTAACATTCTTTTTAACATTATTTTTTTTTTAAAGTTAGAAAACAGTTCGAGAATTAATTGCGTGCGAAACTTCAAATGGAACACCCTATATATTCACACACAACACACACACACACACACACACACACACACACATATATATATACAGAGAGAGAGAGAGAGAGAGAGAGAATTGCATTCTAAAAAAGATTGTACTCGGTTAACTCGTTTCCTAGTTTTATAAGTCATCGATAAATCGAGCTCGATATTTCAATGGATTGGTTCAACGAAATTTAAAGAGATCATTTTTTATTTGAGAAAGAAAAAAAAAAAGAGAAAGAGAGAGAGAGAGAAAGAAAAGAAAGCATTTAGGTACATCTACAAAAATCGATACTAACTGAACAGTTGTTGAGCATATGGTAAAACGATCTACGCGATCGACTGCTATCTAACCTTCTCCAAGCGATTCATTAATACATGACATCAGGTAGAACATAACTATCAGATGTCGGACTAATATGGATCACCTAGAAGGTTCTCCTATCTGTGATGATCAAAGTCTGATGGGATCATTTACCATCCCGATTATTATTTTCCATCCTCGTATCGACTTTCTTCTTCTTATTTACGTTTTACGTACTTAGAACATTATAAACGCTTATAAGATGTTTATAATTTATAAAAGTATTATCGTTTATCTCGTAGAGATTTTTTGTGGTTGTTATTGTTGTTGTTGTTTTTTTTTTGTTTTTCTTTAATTAACGCGGTTTACCGTCACATGCATGATTTAATTTAATTTCAATTTTTTGTCTTGTTTATCTATCCTTCTCGTTTACATAACTTTTTTTTTTTTATTTTTCTTATACATACAGCGAAGGATTCAAATTTAATATATAACTTATAAAAGGATAAAAAGATATTAACATTGTACCATGTAAGAAGTATAATTACTTTTTTGTTTGTTTGTCTTTTTAAATTGCCACGTGAATCACAGCTGATATTCATTTAACAATTATTAAAGAGATCATTTCATTATTATTAATGTATTTTTTTCTTGTATATATTTTCTTTTTTTTATTTTTCCATATAATGTAACATAGATGACAATTGATTTTCCTTAACTACTGTCAGATATCTATCTTTTTTTTTTTTTTTTTTTATACAATTTTAATCACATGAGATATAGTTAGACTAAAATGTATTTTCTTTCTTTCTATTTAATTATTTCTTCGGAATATCTTTTTTGAATAACATATAAAAGATATTAAAAAAAAAAAAGGACATTTTTAGATCAAATTTATTTTATCAGTGAACGTATTAATAAAAAACAGAAAAATAAGAAAACGGGGGGAGGGTTCCGGGAGAAAAAAAAAAAAAAAAAAAAAAAAGGAGAAATTACGAACTATAATTGTAAATGAATATTTCGAGAGCGTACGCGGAATTATTCAATAATAATGTGACGTTACTGAAAAGAAATTAAATGTTAATCCGTGTTAGGGGATTACGATGCGAAACAAAAAGGAAAGTAGTCAAAGGCGTAAAGTCAATTGAATAACGGTAAATCCGGAGTTCTTACGTCGGAGGGATTATTTACGTCGTCCTTGTGTGCGGATACGGGATAAGTGAAATAACCATACCGTTACGGCCGACGTAACGTTTTCACGTTATAATATAACGAGAAACGAAAGAATAAAGAATATTATAAAAGAAAATGAAAAAGAAAAAGTGGAGAAAACATGTTTCCAGAATCATCGGTATTATTAAGAGAGATCGACGAATATATAGTGTCGATCTCACATCGATTCCGTTCTAACTTTTACCTCCTAATGTATATATGTATATATATATATATATATAATTCTTTTTTTTATCGTAGGATCGTAGGATCGTAGGATCTTGAAATATCGGTGAATCATAGAAACATATTATTGCGTCACTTCCGTGCAAGACTCGTTTCCGACTAGTTCGATTCAAGCTAAGTGAGAGATCAATCTAATGTTTCTATAAGAGACCGCAAAATCTCGCTCTCGCATGACGATAAAAAATTGTCGAACGATAGCGAAAAGAGAGCTTATCGATTGGACGACGGTACAAACTTTCTTTTTACTATATTGTATGTATATATTTACAAAAAAATATAAAAAGAAAGTTTCTATTGTAAAAAAACAAAAAAGAAAAAACGACACACACACACACACACACACATATATATATATATATATATATATATATATATATATATATATATATATATACGTACACATGTTATTTTTAACGATAAAAATATCATATATCTGATAGTAAATATGTAGACTATCATATATACGTATATACAGCAAATATACTGTAGAGTAATATTATCATATATGAAAAAAGAAAGTTTCTATTATATATATATAATAGAATATATATATATATAAAGAAAAAAAAAGTACAAAAGGGATATCCATATATTTATATACAATTTTTAAAAATAATAATACATTATCATATATGATATATAATTTACAATAGAGAAAACTTTATATTATAGTACGTGCAATAGATAAAGAAATTAATAAAATTAATAATCCCGATTAGGATATTAATCATTTTATGAATATCGTTTCGAAATAAATATTTATCATTTATTTATGAATCAATTTGACAAATTAATTTTGTTTCTTTTTCATTAATCGCATAATTAACGTTAATGCGATACAAAAAGAAAAAAAAAAAAAAAAAAAAAAAAAAGAAAAAACTAATTAAATTACTTGTCATTCGTATCTTCATTACGATCAATTGGGAACGACAGAAGTATATTATTCCTTCAGTTTTGAATATTGATATCTTCTAGTTTCGTTTTCGATTAAAATTTCGTAGGGTAGGGTAGTAACGACAGAAGAGATAATCGATGAGAAAACTATCGTCAATCGAGAGTACGCAGACTTGCGACGAAGAACTTCCTCCTTTCGAACTGGTATACATACATACATCCATACATACATACATATATATATATATATGTATATACATACGTACATGCATATATATATATATATATATATACGTATATGTTTACGTGTATCTGTACACATATAGGATAAATTCACGCATATACATATGAACATAGATGAAAAGTCTATTTCTTGGTGCAGTGGCTGTACACGATTGGAAATGGCTCCACCTTTCCGTACGTCCTTGGCGGACTGCCGGTGCACTCTGAGAAAGGCGATGAAAATTGTGCCAGTCACGTGTATCATGTCGGTGCGAACGCTCGCACCGCGTCTTTCCTCGTTCGTTCTCGAAATTCGAGAATCGAAATCGAAGGGAGACGACGTAATAGAATCAACGAGATCGAACGTACGATATATTATTATATCTCCGTTAAATCGACGATAATTAAGAAGTGCCTTTGAAAAGTGATCGAGATAAAACATACAATAAAGGAAAGAAAAAAAAAAAAAAAAAAAAAAAAAAAAAAAAAAAAAAAAAAAAAAAAAAAAAGAAACAAAAAGAAGAAAAAAAAAATATAAGAAAAAAAGAAAAGAAAAAGTAGAATGGTGAACGAATAAAAAAAAAAAAAAAAAAAGAAAAGTCAAATTTTTTCCCTTTGAAGATCCAAAGTCAAATTGCATTGTCAAAAGGAAAAAAAGAAGAAGAAGAAGCAGAAGAAGAAGAAAAAGAAGAAGAAGAAGAAGAAGAAGAAGAAGAAGAAGAAGAAGAGAAAAGAAAAAAGTTCGTTCACATAGAGAAATCGCTTTATTTTTCTCTTTCTCTGTCTCTCTCTCTCTCTCTCTCTCTCTTTTTCTCTCTCTCTTTTCTTCTTTCTCGTTCGTTGTTAAAACTTCCGTATCTGTGAAGGAAGTATATTACATCGGATGACAGTTAAATCGCCGGTATCTGCGAACGCATGTAATAAGAAATCTTTAAAAAGGATCGTTATTTCTTTCTTTCTATCTTTCTTTCTTTTTCTTTTTCTTTTTTGCTAATTCTCTTTCATATTTCTGATTAATACTGATTACATACTCGAGAAGAGAAATCATTTATAATTTTGTTCATTAACGTATCATCCTAAATATGATTTTCTCAAAGAAAAGTTTACGAGGAGAAGAAGTTCCGTGTTCTATAGAACGTTCGTTAGTTCCGTCTTAGATAGAAACTCGTGTACGTCCATTTATATATATATATATATATGTGTGTGTGTGTGTGTGTGTTTGTGTACTTGCAAGAAAGAAAGAGATAGAAAGAGATAGTATATGTGTTAAGAAAAAAATCGTTAAAGAGATACGAGAAACGCGATTGCGTATGTTACTTCCGTTAGATCAACGAAAATGGTCCATAATATATATATATATATATATATATATATATATATATATATATATATATATATATACATATACTTGGAATATCGTGACTTGTTTATCTATCATAATGGATGGTGCAGTTTAGACGATAATGCAACCGGAGAAAACGTGGAATCGTGCACAAGTCGATTAGCTTCGTTATTCGCTCTCTGAAGTCATTACGTTTAGAAGTTGTTCGACTACACCGTTGACCCGTGAACATTTGTCGACTAAGAAACGAAACAAGACGAAACGAAAGAACGAACGAACGAAAGAACGTAAGAACGTAAGAACGTTCACCGATTGCTCGCCAGCGAAAGGCGTGGCAAAACGCTAACGCTGCTATCTCCTATATAACTTACGATTCTAAATCGAATTGGGGATTGCTATGGGGAAAAAAAAAAAAAAAAAGGAAAAAAAAATTGTTAAAGAATTCGTGAAATTCGAAAGATAAAAAATATCCTCAATCTTTGCGTATCTCTCTCTCTCTCTCTCTCCCTCTCTCTCTTTGTCTCTTTTTTTCTTTCTTTCTCTCTCTCTCTCTCTCTCTCTCTTTTTTTTGTTCTTCTTATCGAAAACGAAAGACTTTCGCGTTCGCATCAAACCGAGACGATAGTTCTACATCGTCGGGGATCCTAATATCGTTACGAATTAGTTAATTAATTAACGTAACTCGTATTGAGATTCTAACGATCTTGCGGAGAACGCGAGAACAAAAACATATTCTTTTTCTTTTTCTTTTTTTTTCTGTCAAGACAAATTAAATGCAACTAATAACGTTATTACGTAAAGAATTATTAGCGTGAGAATATTTGTTAATGTTATTCGATAATTCGATATTATGTTTTGGGAAAAATTGCGTGACGTAGTTTTTCGTTTCGTTTCTTTTTTTCCCCTTCCCCTGACTCTCCTCAAAAAAGAAAAAAAGAAAATATTACAATTTATTATTTCATCGTATGTAAAAAAAAAAAAAAAAAAAAAAAAAAAAAAAAAAAAAAAAAAAAAAGCGATAAAAATACAATTAATCATTAACGAGAGGAAGTATAGAAATTAAATTAGAATAAGTTTCAGAATCAAAGTCTATATATATATATATATACATCTCATTAATTGAAATTGTGTTTATTTAATTTCAGATGACTCGCAAGGCAAACTTCCAGGGACGATTGATCCTGATTCTAGCATTAATAACGATATGTATGACTATCGTCCAATCGACGAAGACAAAAGAAGAAAAGATCGATATTGGTAATGATAGTAGGGAAAAAAGACACGTAGGAATCACTGAAGTATCGTCCACCGATCGAGGAGAACGATCTACTAATATACCAAACATTCGAGTTTTCAACAAGTCATCATCGAGTAGTAAAAGCAATGAGATAAGCTCAGAAACAGGAAGGAAAGTGTCCCATAGATTGATCGGAGGTCATTTGAGAGATGACAGGGTAAAAAAATTATGCGATGTAAAAGATGAGGATATGTTAACGTCGTCGGCTGGTAATGGTAAAGAAACAAAAAGTTCACTACGTAGTGACGATGACGACGAAAGGAAAACTCTGTCACAACAGGTAAAGGAGGGTAAATATGGTCTGATACAAAATGAAATATATGAAAATGAGGATAAACCGAGGCGACCGGGTATCATAAGTTATCTCGATAATCCCGAGGTACCAAGGGATACCATTGAAAATCTCGGTGGTCTTGATGAGGATGAAATATGGTTGGCGGAAAATCATTTGCTTGTATTAAAGGGCGGTAATTTTCCGGGACGTGGTCCAACAAATCGGCCGTCGTTTTATCCGTCGAATAAGAACAAAGAAAAGTGGCCACCGATCGATAATTATCAAGCACCTAAAAGACAGGTCAAAATACCGTCTAAACCAAAAGTACCACCACCATTTCCTGTACAGCTTAAGGATGGAGGACCGATACAGATTATTGGGATCAATGGTAGTACAGAAATCGAAAACGTTACGTTAGATCGAACAATGGATCCTTTTTATGGGAAGGGAGGTATTTTACCAGGGGATGGACCGTTCTTTACGATAACATCAAACGGTACAATCGTCGTACCAGATTTTGATTTTAATTCTACGACGGATGATGTTAATAGTTCAACCGTTACAAATGACGATGGAAAAAATATCAAATCCGAGGAACCACCAATTTTCTATCATGCAATACCACCTGGCGCTGTATTTGTACCACCACCAAGCAATCGTTCCGATTACGATGACGAGGATCAATCGATATATTATCCACCACCGTATAGCTTTTATTATCCGCAAGATAATACTACGTCAGTACCACCAGGTCCTTTAGTACCTGGTATCATTTTACCACCACCGCCAGACTTCTTTTCATCACTCGAGGAAAAGAAAACTACGACGAAGAAATATACTAAACGTCCAGGCACCTCGATGCTTCCAAAATCAAGACCGACTTATCTTCCACCGAGAAAGCTTACTACGAGAAAACAATGGGAAAGTACGACGGTCGTGCCAAGAATAAGTACAACGCAATTGCCACGTACGAGAATATACAATTCATCGATGTTAAAGAATTTAACGGGAACACCCGTTACAAGGATTCGTTCAAGTACCGTACCTTACGAAGAAGTTACAACTGTTGTACCAGAAATACGATCTACTTTAAGAAATAATAATAAATATTATGGCGTTAGTTCATTGATTGGAAATAGAGTGATCGAAACTAGTACAGAAGATAAGGTTCAAACATGGCCCAGATCGACCAATAGCAAATCTCTTCCGGTATTGACTTATTATGCTTCAACGACACCTTCGTCAATCGATGAATCCGTGGAAGTGACACCAGCTTCTATCAAAAACGTTATAACGACCGAACAACCAGTAAACTTACCGAACAGAGCATCATATTATTTCTATGAGGAATCTAATGATGGTAACGTTGCTAGTACCGTAGAATCGGCACCAGTTTATTATCAGACTACTACGGAATCCCCTTATTATAAACTCGAAACGCTTTCTCAACAATCAAGAGACGAGAAACCATATTATAGAATCGAAACTAATTCACCAAAGGATATTTCTTCATCGAGAGATTACAATGTCAAACTGATAGATGCCCTTGTTGATAATCCTCAAATATTTCAATATAGGGGTTCCGAAGATTCGTCTACGAAATATGATTCAACATTGGATAGAGATCAAGGCGAACGATTATTGGCGGATCAAGCTCCGATCTATTATCAAACGATAACACCTCGTCCGTCTTTATCATTACAACGATCCTATTACACTACACCAAAATCTTCTTCTAGGTATTATCAAGAATCGAAAGAACGAGTTGACAATAGACAAGATACTATATCTAAACCAATTTATCAATACAGTTTCGAAGTAACTGATTATTCGAGGAGAGATCAGGATCAACGACCTTATTATAGACAACAAAATGAACGTGTCACGTACGATTATCAAACAGTTAAATCTAATAACAATCAACGATATAATTATGAGAACGATCAACCGGATAAGGTACCTTACAAAATTCAAAGTCACATATATCCATCTACGACTGGTCGATCAACGTTAAACGTTACTCCCAATCCTCAGCATGCATATTTCACGCGACAAGAGGAAAGACTTTTGGACGACGTTACGAAAGAATACTTTACGATATTTGGTAAGAAAATTAATGGAAAGGAAACACAAAGTACTACGCCGATTTATAACAAGGCCAATCACGTTACGGAGAAACCCAATTACAATGTTAATAGATATGTATCAAATGATTATAACGTACCACCGGAGATTACTTATAGAGATCAGTTATATTACGATAACGATGCACCACCACCACCACCAAATCTAGAAAGTGATACACGCGTTAATTATCGCCGACCTTTACCACCTATCAATCCAGACAGCGAATTTATTGAAGTATTCGATCCAAAACAACGTGGACAACCGTATGTTCAACAAGAACCAACAATTTCCCTTAAGGACGATATACTTGTTAATTATCGTAATCCAAGGCCATCGATAAATCCCGATGCCGAATTTATTCATCCTATTTCTATACCTAATCAAGGTTCTGTTAATACTGAAAAAAATAGTGCATACTTTGCTTATAGATTACCAGGCGACGGTGGTCATTTTTATTTCCTTACGCCTCAAGCGATTAGGCAAGAACAAAATGGAGGAGATAGTGGTAGTAATGATAATGACGATGACAGTGATGGTGGTGGTGGTGGTGGTAGTACTGATGGTTATTACTATCCAAAGCCAAAAGGTCCGAAACTTTTACGACGTAGAAGAAATCTTTATAACGTATAATAAGCGTTTCTTTTAATTCTTTAGTTAAAAATTCAATTAGGCAGTTGTCCGATGCCATATGTATTAGAATGTTACAAGTGCCGAGAAGATGATGCGTGTCATAAATGTGCGATCGAAACTTTCGGAATATTTATTATCTTTCTGTAAATATCAGGATATTATATAAGTTAAGATAGTTATTAGGCATTAAAACCTTTAAGTTATGCAATCTAGTTAATCATTTCCTTTCATTATTATTGACACGGATTAACGAGATGTTATTTCCTCCTCCCCCCCCCGCCCCCGTGCGAAGCTAAGTACATAGAACGCCGAGCGATTGACCGAAATGTACTTGCGCATTGTCTGTGATTGCAATGTATACTTATACACGTACAAGATTGTATATGTACGTTACGATAAATAAATTGCGGGACACATCGTATTTCCTTTATACTATTACTATTACAAAAGCTATTCAAGTTGGTTTCTCCTTTTTTCTTTTTTCATTTTTCTTTGTATTTTGTATTTTTTTTTTTTTCTTATTGTCATCCTGATTTTTATATATATATATATATATATATGTATATATATGTACTACTTCGTTATCGTATTTATTTTATTGTAACTTTTATTTTTTCTTTTTACGAATATTACGAATATTATCGAGATCAATAATAATGGATTCGTTTAAATTTTTTCTTTGCAAAGTTTCATGACTAAATATTACGAGCTCCCTTTAATAGACTGTATAGTATATTAATTTTAATTCTTCGAAAATGTTTAATCGAATAATTTATTACAATCTATGTATGAAGTAATAAAAAAATGTCCTTATGGATTATTCTAATAAAAATTTTATGTGTTTAAACGAACGTAAGATAGAAATGTTTGTATAGCCTGTAATATTCCATATAAATATATTCCTTTAGGAAGAATATATCTATCAGAACGTTTTATATATATACATATGTATATATATATATATTTACTGAATATATATATATATATATATATATATATATACATATATTTACTGAATATATATATATATATGTATTTACTGAATTATAAGTAGAAAATAAAAATTGACTTTGGTATGTTTATAGTGCGATGCGTCGTCACACTGTGAATGGCCATGTTTTATGTAAAATTAAATTTCTTCGTCTCTAATCAATGATGCATAATAAATGTAAAAAAGAAGAAAAAAGAAAAAAAAAAAAAAAAAAAAAAAAAAAAAAAAAAAAAAAAAAAAAAAAAAAAAAAAAAAAAAAAAGAAAAGTAAACTTACCCGTATCGATTTCTTGTGTCTGCGTTGGATCCGGCAAAGGATAGTCATGTAAACGAAGATAAACCTCCATCGCACATTTTGCAGCCTTGAAATAAAATGGATGAGCACGAAGGACGTCCTCTAACCTCAAGAGACCAACGTAAGATCTTAATGTCATTTTTCTCATGCAATATGTGTGAAAGTCGAATTGATCTTCTATAATTTCCGAAAAGTGCTGTAAACAATATGAAATAATTAATACAGAAATTATAAAATAATTATTTAAAATCAAATCATTTTGATGACATAATTCCAATATATTATATTGATCTTTTTACATGACTTACCCTGTCAACTTCATGGCACTTCTTTAACGCTTCTCCATATTTTCCAAGACGTTGATACGCATGTGCTGCTTCCATTTGTATCCACATACATTGCATTTCATTTAAATTTTCCATGGCTAATACGCCTTCCCTTGTAAACTTCCCACATGTCTCTTCTGCTTCTTTTATTAAATTAGCACGTAGCATATATTTGGCACATTTAGAATTAATATATCGATCTGCGGTATCTAATCCTTGAGCTTCGTCCAACCACTTATACGCTTCTTGAACATTTCCAGCGTGCTAAAATAATATATTTAATATCCCATAAATATTAAATATTATATATTATTTCCATTGATATATTTCAAAAGTAATAAAATATTACATTATTATTTACCTTAAATATTCGTCCTTTGGTAACAAACAGTTCTATTAATGTAGGCGTATGATCTATGGCAGCATCAATCTCATTCAGCGCTTTCTCTGTAAGACCAAGATAATCATAATGTTGAGCTAAATAATAATAAGTCCATAATAAAGCCGACGCTGGTTCTCGTGGATTATCTTTTTCTTGATTACTAAAATGACCATGGGCTTTTAACGCTTCCTTATATTCCAGAACAAGAGATTGAATAACCTCAACTTTTTGTTTGTCATTATACAACGAACGAAGATTAACAAACAATGGTGGTACACCTTTATGAAGGCCTAAATAAAAACAAAACATATATATATATATGTATAAAACGTTATAAATAAAAAATGTAAGTATGTACGTGTACGTTAAATAATCTTTTAATATGAGAGAAAAAAAAAAAAAGAAAAATGCAAAAGTTTTCTCAAGGCATACCTCGTCGTAAATATAAATCGACTAATGTTTTAAATTGATCTCCGGTAGCATAATTCAATTGTAAACGTCTTGGTGCTAATGCACGAGGAAATAATTCTTCGTATCTTTGGAGCATAATCAATGTATCTTCTGGTGTTTCATGTCTTTCAGCCTCTGCTAATTTAGCATAATATGTAGTATTTTCTGGATTGATATTTAATAATTCTTTGTAAACCTGTGTTGCTTCTGCATATTGTTGAAGCTGAAGTCTGAGTTTACCTGAATTAAAAAAAAAAGAAAAAAGAAAAAAAGAAAAAAAAAGAAAAAGAAAAAAAAAAAAAAAGAAAAGTCATTAAACTTGTATAAAATTATTAATTATACAATAGCGATGATAACAAGAAATAACGTACCATATGTCTCTTTTAAAGTGACTCTATCACAAATTTGATATCGATACTTATCAAGATGTTTTAAAGCTTGTTCATTGTCACCAGATTCTTGAATAACCATATTTTGGTATAACAGCAATTCACTATGTTCATAATCATAACAAATCTGCACAATTAATTAAAACGTTTAATATATTAGATCAAATTCTTAAATATTTTTGTATAAAATAAAATAGAATTATATGCATGATAATATATAACATAATAATTGATATTGCAAATATATGATTGATATTAAAAATATTAGAAGATATTAAAATAAAATATAATTTAACAATATATATATATATATACGCGACTTAAATCATTTCTCAATGTTTTATTTTCGTATACATACCATAGGTGAATTTCGAAATGTATCTAAAATTTTAAGCGCCATCTCATAGTCTTTTAATAAATGATAAGATATAGCGAAACCAATCCAAGAAGCACGTTGTGTTGGACGTAACATAAACAATTGATATCTTGTATCCTATAAATAATAATTTGTCATATTAATAATATAATAATATAATATAATTTTTATTTAACATTGAAACGTATAGATTTGTATATAATAACAAAATAATTCTTATTATATATATATATATTTATATTTATATGTATATTAATAATAATATATATTCTATATGAGTACTCACTCTATATCCTTCTAAATCCCTCATTTGAATTTGAAGTAAAGATAAATCTCTAAGGATTTGGATATTGTCCTTATCCCATTTAAGAGCATTTCTATAACATTTGATAGCCTCATCATATTTCTTATCGGAACGCTGTAACAGTCCATAAACATGCCAGCATACATGAGACTGTAAACTGTTCCTAAGACCACGCCGTACATGATCATATGCTTCTTCTTTGCGACCTAAGCAATTCAGAGTCAGACCTTTCATCGCCAATGTCTCTCCATGCTCACTGAATTTTGGATTTGATAAGATTTGCTTTGCAAATTTCAATCCATTTTTGTATTGTTTGTGTTCATAACATCTCTGGAAGATTAAAAAAAAAAAAAAATGAGAATATCATTTGTTGAAAATTAAAGTTTTCCTATTCTTTAATTATATATTTAAAATATAATGTAATCTAATAGCTGTCATAAAGGTCATAATCTTGAGAATTTGATTTCATTAATAACATTACAATGATATTTATGGTTAAACGTTGCCATTGAATTTTTTTAAGGTTTTCGAAGAGTGCTTCATCATTAGAACATGATGAGTACAACTATTAGCCGGAGAGTGGGGTCCAAAACAGAGTATTTTTAATGGCTGTTACTCACCAAAATTCGCTTAAACAAGGCATTTTCTTTGGGTGGCAAAGGATTGCTGGAGGACATTTTTGTATAAATACAAAAATAGAGGGCCTTTTCCACCCGGTAAACTTAATTTTCACCACAAAACCTCGTGGCCACAAACGAAGAAGTCGATCTTCGATCACGTGATCATCTGCGAAACTGTTGTTCCGCCGGAAGTTCTAAGTTCACGGTGCCGCACATTTCAACAAGTGTTGTAACTTTTATTTAATAGGAAAAGGAAGAAAGAGAGAAAAGAAAAAGAAAAAAAAAAGAAACGTTCGAGTAATACGATCAAAATTTAATTGACGATAATAATAATTACAATTGTCTATCGTCGTTAATCTAATAGATATAAATGAAAACAAAAAGTCAAAATCAATTGTATTAGATTTTAAAATTATTTTAGAATTGAACGAAAGTTTTTAACAACGCCATCTATATAACGTATCGAATCCTTCGAATATGATATACAATTTTAATCCTTACTTTTATGATCAATTTTGTCATTACCATTGAAATATATAAGAGTTAAGTATTGTAATATTTTGACTTAATTAAACCCATGAAAGAAATAAAATGAAATTTATTTATTTATAAACTTTGTATATAATAGTTAAGATTTCAAATACACTCATTGGCTGATACTTTCCTAATGCATCTTTAAGCATGCATCACACGATCGCAAAATAATTTTTCATATAAACTTTATAAATTTAAATATAAAAAAAATAAATATAGTATTTGTCGTTTATTAATTATTATTGTCGTATTATTAAAATGTTATTATTAAAAAGTCTTGTAATAATAATTTCGAATAAAATTCTTTATCATTTTTATGTCGCGTATTACATTACCGACATATTATTACAAGTCCATTGTAAATACAGTCGGTAAGTCAGTATAGCAAATATTTAATTTTATTTAAGACAATTAAAATAAATTCTATAGAATATAATAAAATGATACATTTATATATATATATATGTATGTATGTATTTATTTATTTATTTAAAATCAATTGATATCCTTCTTACTGTTCAATAACATAAAATAATCATTGTTACCATATTTTATTATGTGCACTCAAGATGGCAGCATTAGTTGCTCGAGTCTACTTATATCAATTCTATGTGACGTCAGAACGTTTGTAAGGAAAAAAAAAAAAAAAAAAAAAAAAGAAAAACCAGAAAGACAATTTGATTCTCGTACTGTAAAATCTCTGATAAATTTATTTTTCTAAATCTAAGTATTTTCTATTAAATACGCTAAGATATTTAATCGATAATTTGTATCGATTCTCTTTATAAACGTTATGACTTTTGTTAATAGTATGTTTGTTTACATTTTTATTACGAAGAACTCTCTCCGGCTAAGAGAGCTAATATTCTCGGGTATTTATTTGTTTCTTTTTTTTTCCAAGAATACATACCTTCTATTTGATCTTCGTTTGTTTTCAATTTGGCAGTCGAAGGATAACCGTGATTGAGTAAGCACGTATCTCTCGTATCAAAATGCGTAAGTAATTTAATTTATTATTAATTTTTAATTCAAACGACGGAAATGAATAAATTCAATATTATTCCTCGTAATATATTTTTCCTATTATTTCTCAAATTAATAATGTTAATTAATTGACGTTTTTCCCTTTCGTTGGTTATATTTACGAAATTAATAGAAAAACATTAAAAGAAAAATTAATTTTCTTGAGAAACTTGTACTCTCATTGAGTAATTATCAAAGATAAAAAAAAAAAAAACTAAAAATTAACATGTGCGAAATAGTCCATTGAATTATTTTCATTTTTGATTAAAACGAGATTGAGATTTTTTTTTTATTTAACCGTGCAAATTAATCAGTTAAACGTCTAATTAATTTTATATTTCTTTTGTATAACTGATACAAACGATCGCACGAATAATTTTCTTCATTTAATTATCGTTAATTATTGATAACCGTTTGTCTATCATTGAAGGATTAACGAACGACAGATAAAAAAGGGGAAAAAAATCTATCAGAAGTATGAGAGAAGTTTCAAATTGAATATAAATTTGCGAAACAATACGTTTTAGATGACAAGAGAGGTGTGTGTTATTCTTTTTTTTTTTTCTTTTTTTTTTTTTCTCTTTTTTTGTTCTTTTTACTCATACTTTACAAAAGATATATCTTTATTCTAAAGCTCATTTTTTACAACTTAATACGACATCTTTACGAGCCTTTACAGTCCATTATTTACAATCCATTGATTCGCCATTATAGGGAATTCATATTCCATGTTTTTGTATCGATACTTCTTTGTGGTTTCTCATTTGTTTATTTATTTTTTTTTCTTTTTTCTCTTCTTCTTCTTCTTCTTCTTCTTTTTTTTTTCTTTTATTATTTTTTATCTTCCTCCAATTAATAAAACATTCGTCACAGACAGAGAGATTCCTTTCGCATTGATAGTACGTTAACAGCTGTAAAATCTTTCTCGACGTTTTGTAATTAATAATAATAATAATAATAATAATAATAATAATAATAATAATAATAATAATAATAATAATAATAATAATTCATTGTTAATTAACTTAACGAGAGTATTTCCACTAAAATTCGATTTCTAAGAAACGCGATGTATATAAATTAATTAGAATTGTTTCGAACGACGCAGTTCGAAAAATATATTTTCGTCGTGATTTCAAAGGGACGCAAAAGAAAAGGAAAAAAAAAAAAAAAAAAAAAAAAAAGAAAAAGAAGAAAACGTTTTTTCCTTCTTTCTTTTTTCTTCCTTTTCTTTTATTCTTTTTTTTTTCTTTTTCTTTTATCAGGCATATTTCTTACTCCCAAAACATTTGCGTCCATTTGGAAACACAAACGAACGTAACGCACGAAGTGTGTATCATAAACGCGCACTTTTGCGAGCGATTTTCTTTTTCTTATTGAAAGAAATAAAAAAAAAAAAAAAAACAAAAAAATAAAAAATAAAAAAAAATTGATCCGGTCGATGACGAATCATGAATAATATAATATAATTATTTATATACACGTATATCGTGATCGCATCGTAATTTTACTTTTTTTTTTTATTTCTTTTCTTTTTCCTTGTTCTTGTTCTTGTTTTCTTTTTTTTTCTTTTTTTTTCTATTTTTTTTTTTTTTTTTTTTTTTTTTTTAATTAGCCGACATATTATCGTAACATTTGGCCGATCGAATATATTATTATTTACATTTTCCATTCAAGAAACGGAGAATTAGCTTTCTTCGTTCTTATTTTTTTTCAATCTCATTTTTTTTTTTTTTTTTTTTTTTTTTTTATTATTTCGTTTTATTTCTCCGTTTCGATATGCGGCTGTGCGCGTTGATAATATTTAAAAAAAAAAAAAAAAAAGAAAAAAAAAAAATAAAATAAATAAAATCGTCACGTTCTTCGTTGAATGTATTGATAAAAAATTTAAAAAAAAAAAAAAACAAAAGAGAGAGAGAGAGAGAGAGAGAGAAAAACAGAAACGTAAAACGTAACGCATCGTATAATAATTTATAATATTCTACGCTAAACGTCGGATTTCTTTTCTTTTGAGTTTTTCAATGACGACATAAAGAGACAACGACGATGAATTATTCTTTTCCTTTTTTTTTCTTTTTTTTTTCTTTTTTTTTTTCTTTTCTGTTTCAACTTAAGTTAAAAATCGGTGGTTCGCGAACAATCGAAGACAACGATGTTTAAATATATTGTAAATTAATTGATTAGATGATTAATCGTCTGCGTCGTATAAAATAATAATCTTCTCTTTCATTCTTTTCTTTTTTTTTCCTTTTTTTCTTTTTTCTTTTCTTTTCTTTTCATTTCTCTTCTTTTCTTTGTCATTCTTACGTTTACATTTTCGTTTACGTTTTCACGTTAAGTCTACGCGTTTCACGTCGTACACTGCGTCTTGTCTGGGAATGAAAAGAAAGAAAAAAAGGAGGAAAGAAAAGGAAAAAAAAAACAAATGAAAAAAAGGAAGAAAGAAAGAAAGAAAGAAAAAAGAAAAAATAGAGGGAAAAATTCGTAAAACGTTCGTTTAGGTGAACGCCGTTGGTCCTTTAGGTTTTATCATCATGGTCGCCCTTTTTAACGTGTAATCCCATCCTCTCCAACGGAACCATACGATTCCTTGAATATGAGAAAAATAAAAATAAAAATAAAAATAAAAAATAAAATAAAATAAAATAAAAATAAAATAAAATAAAATAAATAAGTAAAAATAAAGAAGTAAACGTGTTCCTATAAAAGTCGCATTCGAACGTAGTTTTAATGGTCTGTAATTATAATTAAATAAATAAATGTATTAATATTAAAATACCTTGTCGAGCCGATAAATCTTGAGGATCGTTAAGATAAAGTCCATTTAATCCACGTCCACAAGATTTCCACCACCAACCACCCTTTAGCATTGACGCACAATTCAACGAAGATCTATCGTTGTCTCTGTAAAATATTTCGTATCGAAATGCAAAATCAATAATTAAATTAACGATTATTTTTCTTTCATATTAGATGACAATTATATGTATATATATATAATAAATCTTTATATAGATATGATAGATATTTAGATATAAATATTTAAAATCATTAGAATAAGATCGCATATAATTATTACCTATTATAAGTCGAGAATGGACTATTGTTAGATCCATACCATGGATCATTCAAAGAATCACCAGCAGTACCTTCGTACCCATCGATTTCCAATTTGTAATATTCACCCTCGGAATATATTTTAAAGTGCATATATTGTGCGTATCTAAAGTGATTAAATATGAATTAGATATAAGATGAAGGATCGAAAAAATTTAGACACATAAATTAATTTTTATCGATAGAAAGAAAAGACAAAAAAAAAAAAAAAAAAAAAAAAAGAAAAGAAGAAAAGGAAAAAGGAAAAAAAGTATTGTAATAATTTACACGTGTACCTTTTATTCCCTTCGAAATCTTCCAATTCAACTCGGAGCATGTAATCCTCGTTATTGGTTAACATATAGATATTCTCATTTCCTAACCAAAATTCTCGAGCCGGATTACCAAAACCATTTTTGTAATCGGCCCAATCTCTGTTAAAGTTTTCTCTAGGTTCACCAAAGTCGTCTCTTCTTTGTATTACCTAATTATAAAAAAGAAAAAAAAAAAAAAGAGAAAAAGAAAAAAGAAAATAAAGAAGATCGTATCTGCTGTTAGCGATTATTTTCAAAAAGAAAAAGAGATTGAGAGAAATAGAAAGAAAACAAAAAAAAAATATATATATATATATATATTCAAAATGTACATAGTTTTTTCTCCCTTTTTTTCTCTCTATGGTATATAAACGATAGAGTTATTTACAATTATTATAATTATTATATTTATATTTACCGTTACGATATTGCATTATAATATTAATTATTAATAATTATATTATAATTATATTATAGTATGATATAGTATATATTTTAATAAATAACATATATATATATTATAGTATGTATATATATACATATATATATATATTTAATTATAGCATATATTATATATATACTATTTCATTATATATACTATTTATAATAATAATTAATAATATATCATAGAGAGAGATATAGATATATTTCTCTTCCTTTCTTTTTCTCAATATATAAATATATTATATTACACACATATATATATATATATATATATATATATATATATATACATATAAATATGAATATAAATGTCAGATGGACAGAAAAAGAGATGGAGAGAGAGAGAAAGAGAGAGGAAGGGAGAGCGGGGAGAAAAAGGAAGAGAAAGGTGCCTTATTCAAATCGCTATGAAATAACGTGGCAGCGATCTGAACTGAGGGAATAGTTATTGTTTGAGGAAAAAATCGACGTCTTCCTTCTCATACGTAAGAACTCGATGATCGGCGATGCGCTATTACATGTTACGATAGGATAGGATAGGATATGATAGAATAGGATAGAATAGAATAGTCGAGATCTCTCGAGCATGAAAACTTACCGTCCAACCACCATCGGCAATTTCCTGCTCACAGTAGACCTTGAGGAACCAATATGTAGTACCTCGTATTTGAAGATAATAGACACCGTTGTCTCTCATACCTGCATTTAGCAAGTCCACGCACGAGAAACCCTGGAAAACGTCGAAAGTGTGCCGATCTTATTTAGCTTTCCTTTTTTCTTTTTTTTCTTTCTTATTTTTTTTTGTCTTTTTTCTTTTTTCTTTTTTCTTTCTCTATTTTCTTTTCTCTCTTTTTTTTTTCCTTCTTCTTCTTCTACGTTTTATTTTTTTCCCCCTTCTTTTTCTCCTTTTTATTTCTTTTTTTCTTCTTTCTTTTCTCTCTCTCTCTCTCTCTCTCTCTCTCTTCCTTTCGCTCGTAAATCAACAAATATCATGTTTATCTAGAGTTTAAAGATCAATAGTGATTACTGTTCCTTTTTTCTTTTTTTTTTTTGTTTTAATTCCCCGTATAATTTTTCGAAATCGCACATATTTCGATATGCCGGCTTGTGTTTTCTCTTTTTTGTTTTTTTTTCCCCCTCTTTTTTTCTTTCTGTTTTTTTTTTTTTATTTATTTTATTTTATTTTATTTATTTATTTTTTTTTTTTTTTTTTTTTTAAGTCCGATTTAAGTTTTCTCCAACAGAAAATTTATTGCCAGTTCATAAATTACGTACGCGGTATAAATTATATTACAAGTTTCACATTATATAAGTTTCTTTTTAGATACGGCAACAAAAAAAAAAGAAAAAAAAGAAAAAAGAAAAAAAAGGAAAGAACAAAAAAGAGTAAAATATCGGATCATTATATATATATATAGGATTGAGATAATATTAAAAGGTTTTAGTATTAATAATGTATTACGTTTACGATTAGATAAATTAGATAGAATATTCAATAGATTACATGTTAACGTATTAGATTATATCGATAGAAAATAAATAACTTTGACATTTATTTTTTTTCTTTTTCTTTCTTTTTTTTCTGTTTTTTTCTTTTTTTTCTTTTTTTTTCTTTTTTTTTCTTGCAAATTCATTTAACGCTCATATCGATCTAATATCTCTTAAACATACACACACACATAGACACAGACACACACACAATTAATCATTAAAAATTATATCGTATTATAATCGTATTACCTTGATATCTTTGTAATTGATTAAGATGTCACTGGTGAAGGTTGTGTTAGCAGGACTTGGTTTATTTTTAACACTCGGGAATATAACACCACGATTCCTAGTCGTTGATCTTTGTGGTCCAGCAGAAGTTGGGGTCATGGGGGTTGTTGCCAATGATCCATTACTTGACGGATAAGACGTGGTATATGTGAGGAACGTCGAAGAGGTCGAAGTTGACGTTTGAATAGACGGTGGAATCGTTGTTGCAGTCATAGACGACGAGGATGAGATTTCCGTAACGAAGTTTTCGTTCTGCAGGTTAACATATCTTGACAGAGAAAAAGAAAAAAGTGTCGAACGTTTAAACGAAACTTTTATATATTTGCACGTGTTGTAAATCTTGGATTTTCTCTTTTTTTTTTCTTTTTTTATTTATGTTTTTTATTTCTTTTATTTTCTTAAAATTTTTTTTTTCAAAAAAAAAAAAAAAAAAAAAAAAAAAACGGTTCTCGGTTATGCCGATTTAACGTAATAACATATTAATACTAATATACGAAAATTATAATTTTAATATTAAACATTTAGATCATACCAACCTTCCTGGATCATATTCGACAAGCCGATCTATCGTTGGATCCAACAATAATTCTGCGGGTATTTGTCGTTGTGCCAACGTAGCCACGTCATCCTCTTGTTTCTTAAGCCTACTCTCGACGCCTTCCAAATTTTCTATTATCTTATTCGTCTTCGTTCTAAGATCAGCGTGAATCTCATTGATCGCTCTCTCCTGCCTTTGCGTTTGAGTAAGCAACTCGTCGGATTTTGGAAGTAGATCGTCCACCGAATTTTTCGTGCCGACCTATGAAATCGATGTCATTTTAAAAAGAAAAAAAAAAAAAAAAAAAAAAAAAGAAAAAAAAATGTTATCTTTCTTCTTCTTTTCCTTTTTTTTTTCTTTTCGTTCTTATCACTTGTACCATACAACAATAACAACAACAAAAACAAATAATTACTTAGGAATAAAATAATTCTTCAAAAAAAAAAAAAAAATATATATATATATAATTGCTATACAAATGATTATAAATAATTACAAAAAGAAAAAAAAAAAACAAAAATAAAAAAAAAATTAAGACGATCATTGAATTGTTCGTTCTTTCTCTTCGTAATTATTTATTTATTTATTTATTTTTTATTTTCATTCTTTTTTTTTTTTTTGTTTCTTTTTGTAATCGTCGCGAATGATTTTTTTTTTTTATATAATAATTTATAAATATCTCAGATCTTCTGATCTTTTATCTATGTAAATAAAATGAAAATCGAGAACGAGGTTCCGTTTTCACTGCCAAGTCATTGGGTCTGCAGGAAGTTAATCGCCCAGTCGATCTCGACTCGTTTTAACCCTTAACGGTCTAACGCCAATCGTGTTGCTTGGCACGCGACTTATACTAATCGAGACTCCTAGACTGGATTCCGCGTTGGGAAAACCGCATCGGAAGGTAGCATCGCGATCAATTACGTACCATATATGTATTTCTTGCGTGTAAAGCGAATCTATTTTATTCCTTTCCTTTTTTATTTTCCCTGTTTATTTATTTTTTGCTTTTTTCTTTTTTTTTCTTTCTTTCTTTATTTTTTACTTTCTTTCTTTCTTTCTTTCTTTCTATTACGAGATACGTTTCGTCGGAAATGAAATGAGAAACTCTCGTACGGTTTTCTTTTCTTATCGTTTTTTCTTTTCTTTTTTTTTTCTTTTTTTTTTTTCTTTCTTTCTTTCTTTTCTTTTTTTTTTCTCTCCTCTAAGTAATATATTAATCTTAATGAAGTCTCTCTTTGGATTTCTTTATAATTATCTATGTTATAGATCTAGGTTATATTTGATATAAGAAGAAGATTGTGGTTTATTATCATGGCGCTTTTTTCTTACTTTTTTCTTTTTATTTATCTTTAAATAAATTCTTTTTCTCTTCATTAACCTTTTCCTCGTCATTTCTTTTTCTATTTTATTTCTATTCTTCGACGATTATCCGGATTGTCGGATAATTGCGATAGGAAATTCAATAAAAAAAAATGGAAAAATCGTCGAATTTTATTTTACTATTGTCTATAATAAATTGGACGATAAATATACGATAAAGAAAGAAAATCGTAGAATATTTTTTTTTTAACGATTATATATAATTAGATAAAAATTTGATTAAAAAGAAATAAAAAAAAAAAAAAAGAAAAAGAAAAAAAGAAAAAAGAGAAAGAAAGTAAAAAAAATATGACATATTTTTTTGTGACAATTATGAACGTCAGATAAATTCGATAAAAAGAAAAAAAACACAAAAAAAAAAAAAAAAAAAAGAAAAAGGAAAAGGAAAAGTAAAAGAAAAATTTCTATTACTCACCACGACGTTCCAAACTTCGTCCATTTTTTCGGAAACAGTTAACATGGGATGCATTCTTTCGACCAAACGATCGAACTTGCTCTGTTTTGGTGGTGGCTGAGGAGTCGTAGTCGAATTTCTGTGATCATTAACAATAGCTTTGTCAACGACCGCGTCGTGTACGTCAGTCATCAGATTGTATATAGCTCCTAAATTGTCCGAGACCAGGTTGATATGAAATTGAAGTTTACGATCCAACGCACCGGTGGCTTGTCTAAGATTCTCGATCTCGATCGACACGTGATTCATAACCTCGTTGCTCATCGCCTTCGTGATCTCAACGACGCTCATACTGACAGGCTTCTTTTCGCTTGCCTCGGCATTTATGTCGTCGTTTTGTAAGAAATTATTGTCGAGTTGATTCTTTAGATTAACAAGCTTGTGATCGATATCGGAGACCTTCTGATCAAGAGAAATCAATTTCTCACCGAGAGATTCTGGCGATCTTTCGTCATTGTCATGATGGATCAATCGTATTATCGGAACTATAGTGTTAGAAATAAAAATACAGGTTTGATTTTTTTTTTTTTCTATTCTTTTCTTTTTAATATTCGCGATTAATAATTATTTAAAAGGAAGAATTCGTCTGGAATTTTTCGTAACGTTTTCATAATAATAATAATAATAATAATAATAGTAATAATAATAATAATAATAATAAAAATAATAATAAAAAAAAAGAATAAATGAAAAGTCAGATTATCAATCGTTTGATGGAGTAAATGTATATTATATATAATATAGATTAAAAAAAAAAAGAAAAAAATATATATATAATCAAATAATATATAGATATACGTGTATACATTTTTTTCCTTTTCTTTTATTATTTGATTTTATATATATATATATATATAAAATGTACAAAAAATAAACTATACCACTTTCAGCCTCGTTATCCTCCCTCCTATTATCAGCCGATCTCGCATGGATTTGTTCCTGCGATATCGGAGGATGTGCATTGAACAGTTTCAAATCCAATGTCCTGAGTTTAGCGATGACAGCGTCTGTTTTGTCAATGTTGTCGTTGACCCTCGAATCCAAGGCTTCGACTCGCCTCATCAGATGTTCAACAGCTTTATCAAGATTCTCGATTCGTTGTAGCTTTGATTCAAGGGTCGAGACGATGACCTCAAAGACGTTGAAGAGATACTGTTCCCTAAGATAAAGATGAGAAATTATTTTTTCGAGAGTCAACCATGAAAAACGAGTTCTCCTTTTCTCTCCCTCCCTCTCTTTCTCTCTCTTTCTCTCTCTCTCTCTCTCTTTCTCTTGAAAATGAGAAAGATCATCGCAGATAATTCGTGTCTGCACCTGACTCTTTTTAAACGTCGTATAGTCGAGGAAACTTCATGGCCTTCTTTTCTTAGCAACATGTACCTACCTTACTTATATATATATATATATATATATATATATATATATATATATATATATACATACATACCTTTATATACATACCTCTACCTACCACGGTATAAAAGATTTTTGCCCGAAAGGCTCTGCTGTTGGTGCGTTACGCAAGAAAAAGGCGATCGCGGTTAGCACCGGGCGGCGTCGTTTCGTTCTCGCATTCTCTCTCTCTTGGGAGAAGAGAATGTGCCTCTCTCTCTCTATCTATCTCCCTCTCTCTCTCTCTCTCTCTCTTTTTTTCTTTCTTTCTGTGTTGGTTAAAAGAGGGCAGGAAAGAAGAAAAAAGAATAACTGAGGATAATAAGAAAAACCGGCGGAAGAAAATAAAGAAAGTTGACTCGAGCGAGAGAGTGACGAAATTGCTCTCTTGGAAGTATTTAGACTTAAAAGTCCCGCCATAACTTTTCGTCCTTCTCTTCGTAACATTGTCGTTGTCGTTGTCGTTGTCGTTGTTGTCGTTGTCGTCGTCGTTCTTGTTGTTGTCGTCGTCGTCGTTGTCGTCGTCGTTAAGTCTCGTTTGTCGGGTTTCACTTCGTAGGAATTTGCAATCTCTTGATACGTTCCAAACTTTTCTTCCGTGCTTCTGGTATGTGAAAATTGAATCGTCGTTTTCGCATGTCCCTCATCGTTCAAGTTAAATATCTATGTATTTATTTACTTACATTCCGTCCTACGATTATACTCGTTAATACTTTTCTTTTACCTGTACATGTTAGTATATATATATATATATATATATGTACGTATACATAAATTTGTTTAAATGTCCATCTAAATTTATGGTTACTGTGCATGTTTTATTATTTTGCCATAATTTCGAATATTACCTGAGGAAAAAAAGAGAATGTTTTAACACACTTATATATATATATATATATATATATATATATATATGTATGTCATATATATACATATGTATACATATATATATATTAGAATGTCTACTCAAACATATTGTTATTTTATATTTTATTATTTTATTATAGTTTCGATTTATAACTCGGAGAAAAAAGGGAATACTTTACCATATATATATATATATATATATATATATATATATATATATATACATGGATCTGTTAAAATGTCCACTCAAACGTATCGTTATGTTACGTTTTATTATTCAGCGATAATTTAGATTTTTAACTGACTATATGAGAAAGAAAAAAGAGAGTAGTTAATTAGTATATACATAATCATACATACATGCATACATATATACATATATATAAATATATATATATATATATATGCATATATGGACCTGTTAAAATGTCCACTCAAACGTATCGTTATTATTAATTATTATTAGCCGCGTGTAATCTTCCTCGCTTGGTGAACCACCTTTTGCTTATGAATTGGCATCCAACAAGAATGGTTTGGCTTTCACTGAGTATACTTTCGCGAATGACTGCAAATCTATAACGATTACGACGCCGTTTAAGACTAGGTCGTTAATTAGAAACGTCAATTAATTCTTATACGTACGAGATGAATTGAAAAATCTTTTCTCGCGCTCTAAAACGTCCAATAATAATAATAATAATAATAATAATAATAATAATAATAATAATAATAATAATAATAATAATAATAATAATAATAATAATAATAATAATAATAATAATAATAATAATAATAATAATAATAATAATAATAATAATAATAATAATAATAATAATAGTTTCAAATAGTTTGTCCTTGTCTTGTTTTTTATTTTTTATCTACCCCTCACTCTCTCTCTCTCTCTCTCTCTCTCTATCTCTTTTTTTCTCTATATTTCTCTTTCTTTGTCTCTGTCTTTCTTCAAGTACATCAGAGTTAGCCCTTTATATGATTTTTCTTAAAAGTATACACATGTAAATTGACCGAAAGTGAAATTTGGACGTAACATGAAACACACACACGTACACCCGCATGAACGTATATGTATATCCACACATTTATAGTTGAGATATATCCGAATACGAGAGAGAGAGAGAGAGAGAGAGAGAGAGAGAGAGAGAGAGAGAGAGAGAGAACCAGTTTCTGGACCATAGTTCTTTCCGAACCGTATCGAACATTGAACCAGTTTCTGTTCTCTGTAACTTCTCGTTCGTGCTGGGAAAGGAAAAGCGAATGATAAAAAGGCGGTCTGCGGTTACGTGCATTGTATCTCTCTCTCTTTTTCTCTCTCTTGGGAGAAGAAAAAAAGAAAGGAAGAGAGGAAGAAAGAAAGAAAGAAAGAAAGAGAGAAAAAAAGAAATCATCTCTGATCTCTGTCATGACTTTTCGTATGGTTTATGTATCTCGTTCTTCGCGATGAATGAATTTCTCGATACGTTTCTTGGAATCTGGATCTTTGCTTTTATATATCTGAGAGGACGTAATATACTAACTCATCTCTCTTTTTTTTCTTCTCTCTCTCTCTCTTTCTCTCTCTCTTTCTCTTTCTCTTTCTCTCTTTTCTTTTCTTTTCTTCGAACGACTCTCCTTTAAAATGTTTCTTATATTTTCATATCATTATTTTATTTAATAATGCAAGAAAATCGTGAAATATATAAATAAATAAATAAATAAATAAATAAATAAATAAGTAAATGTATGAATGAAATTATTTGATGGTTGGTAATATTTTAAATGAACTTGTTCAGTATTAATAATAAAATATCAGTAAGTATTTATAATAAATATAAATTACACAATTACGTTACACGTTTAATTATTTATAATGACAAAAATATTCATATAATATTTCGATCATTTTATGTTATTTTATAAAAGTATATTACGATTAATTTATACAAATACTAATCAAATAAATCGAAATGTTATTTGATGTAATTTATTATCTTTTTGATTTCTTTCGTTTTATAGATTAGTTTATTTTCTATTGCAGGAAAAAAAAAATTTATCTGTTATATAATAGAAGAAAAAACATATACACTTCCGTATATGGATACGATAAGTATACCTGAAAAATATTACTTATATACTAATACGATCGTACAAGTACAGGGTGTATTAAAAATTCTTCTGGACTATTTTGCAAATTGATTACTACTTTTTTGTGATTTTTTTTTTCTTTTTTTTAATTAATTTTAATTTTAAATCGATAAAATTACTAAAGCTTAAAAACATTAACTTCACTTTGTACTATTGTGTAATTATTATACTATAATTGAATTTTCTAAATTATATAATAAGTTATGCTAATCAAAATAATTATATAAGTAATCTAATTATATTACAATAAGTTATATTGTAATATATTGTATAAGTATTATAAGTATCAATATAACTATCAATACAATTATACTAATAATAAATACTATTAGGAGTATTATATCAATATAAGTTATATTCTTTTTAAATATAATTAAGTAATAATAATAATGCTATTAATATAATTATTACTAATTATAATATTGCTTGTATAATATCACTATTATCACTATTACTATTACTCTTGCTATTATTATTATTATTATAGTAATCGTATGTAATCATATTAGAGTATAAATGTCTACTATTATTATGTGTTAATGCTATTCAATGTGTTTATTTTTAAAGTCGTATTTTTCTTTTTTTCTTTTTTTATTTGTTTTTTCATGCAAAAATTATGCATTTTTTTCTAAAATTAGAACTATTCTAATTTTTATTTACTTTTCTTTTTTGTTACTAATATTGCCTCTCTCTCTCTCTCTCTCTCTCTCTCTCTCTCTCTCTCTCTCTCTCTCTCTCTCTCTCTCTCTCTCTCTCTCTCTCTCTCTCCATGCATTTCGAAAGTTCGTATTATTTTTGTATTTCGTGGGCTTCATCTCTCTCGACCGAGGACGATTATTTTGAATAGGAAATCGTGTTCAACGACTCAGATTACTTTCTCAGATGTCTCTTTCGTTTCGGCACGGTACCGACATGGTTAATCGATGGAATGAATAGCGATTAGTGTCACGGGCTCAATGACCTCTGAAAAGAGGATGAGAAAAAAAAAAGAGAAAGAAAGAAAGAAAGAAAGAAAGAAAGAAAGAAAGAAAGAAAGAAAGAAAGAAAGAAAGACAGGAAGATTCGTCCTGGAAAAGATGAGAAAAGGAAGAAAGTTAGGTGAATGTTATTCGAATATTAATATACCCTAAGGGTATATAACTCGTCTTATTGACCTTTCATTATCTGTTCTTCTCACTTTACGAATAAAGTTATCGTTATTATCGATTTTAGAAACTAACTTCTCGATCAATCAGTATAATAACCATTGTTCGATAAACATAGTATTAATATGCAATTGTGCAATTTGAATTTATTATGTGCTATTGTGTTTATGGAAAATGTCAAAAGTCGTATGGTTAAATTTTAACATAATACAAAAATGATGGATATTATTAAATTGTCCGAAAAGTTTCTGCCATTTCGTCGTTTATATTATGTATATAATGCATACACGCACACACACACACACACACACACACAAAACACATATATATTATATATATATATATATATATATATATATATATATATATATATATACATCAAAACGTATAAGGATATTAAAAACGTATTAGTTTGTACGTAGAGAGATTGGACGAAATAATGAATACGAAATATTTCCTTTATTACGTTTAAATTGTGTATATTTAAAAATTTATATAAATTGATCAGACTTTTATAAATTTTTATTTCATATATTTATCATTTCCTTTCAATATTATTTATCAATGAAGGATGAATACAAAAAATTGATAAAAATTTTGAGAGTGGTCAATGAAA